AGAAGATAAATAATTCAACAAATAATAATGTTGCTAATGCCATAATATTTTTTATATTTTAGCTTCAATTATTTGATGATCAATTGGGCACTATTACCGATGGTTTCGAAGATGATAATAAGGAAAATTTTAATATTAATTTTAAATAAATTGTGTAATCAAAAATCCAATTTCAGTAATGATTTTTTATTAGAAAAAATTTCGCGTTGTATATATAAAAAAAAAATTATTTAAACTGCAGCTGCAGAGTGCTCTCCAAAATTTTTTTAACGAAATATTGCAAAAAGAAAAACTTCAGTAACGTTTTGTTTAACAGATTATTGTTGTACGTGACTACACTGCTTGGTTAAACGATCTTACATAATCCATGTGATCGTGATTATGTTTCTTAATTATTTTTATCTTACGATCCATTAATTGTTGGCTATCTTTCTTGGCTACTTTTATCTACGATCCATTAATTGTTAGCTATCTTTCTTAACTATTTTTATCTTACAATCTTACATGATCCATTAATTGTTGGTTATCTTTCTTAACTATTTACTAAAAAATTTTTTGATTAATAAATTCTTACCAAAATATGTTAATAATATTTATAAATTGAATACCTTGCATTTGAATATTAGCACCAAATTTTTTTTGTGGATGTTCCAACCAAAATGTTGATGCAAATCCAGTTAATATTAATAAATAAACAATTTCCCAAGTTATCATAGTTTTACTTGAGTTGTATCGATTATATCATCTGTTATAAGTTCATGGTCATATGCTAGTTGAGTACTTATACAGCAGCTTATTCATTTAACGCTTTGTTCTATATTAATTCCTGAAAACATTTATCATTCCTACTGTTATTACTTCATTATTATTTATTAGTAGTAAAATATTGGTGGTTTTTCAGTGAAAATTAATAATAATAATAATAATAATATAATAATAAATTTGACTTGCTTGAAAAACATAAATTTTATTGATAAATTGTTAAATAAATACCAATGAGAGGACGTAGAAACATTAGAAAACCATGAGCCAAATATTCCATGTATTATAGATGAAACTTGACTTCCATAAATTTCATATGTGTAATTTGTGCGTGCATATTGTCTTCTGTCAGGAGAGAAATCGCCTTTTATATTTTTTAAAAAAATATTCATAGTTTTTTAAAGTCGCATGATGAATCCAAAAATATTTACACAAAAAAAAACGTAGTCCCTCTAGAGGTTTTTCTCTTTCGTTTACGTGATAATTAGTATTCGGGAATAAGAATAATAACAAGTTGAAATTAACTTGAAAAAATTATATCGTATTATTAAGTGATTTTTTTTAAATAGAATATATATATATTTTCGACTAGCATGTGTTGGGTGGTAAGGAAGTTGAGATTGTGAGGGCATGTCTCAAAGTATATATAAAATGTACTAATGTACCTACATACATGTCTGATCCTTTTCACATCAACATAGCGTGTTCTTACTATTAGGATGTGACTTTTTGAGCACAGATCGTAAGTAGTCTTTTTATCACCAACTGTAGACATATTTATGAACGTTGTCAACAAAAAATTAGTTTTCAAATATTGAATGAAGCCTTTTAATATGACATCAAAAGAAATTTAGAATTGTGAAGAAGAATTAGTTGGAAATTTAGGAATCAAGTTTTTTTGAAATTCGAACCACTTTAAAATTCGCCTCGATTCGATTAGTTCAGAGACTTATATATATATATTCAACAATCAATCAATTAAAATAAATGAATCAATGAGCTGCGATAATAAATGTGAATCACTGACAACAATTCCTTTTTTTGATCTCCAATGACTCTGCTTCAGTTTGGATCATCTGTGATGGAACGGTGAACATGGTAACAAGACTGATGGATGATGAGAATGTTGGGCTACTTTCAACAGCATATTCAAGGTATAATAGTCTAAAAGGAAACAAGCTACTTTGAAATTGACGGAAAAAAAGCTCCCAGAAAACAATCCAGCTCTAAAATGCCTTCTGATTAAACATAGGGGTTTGATCCTACCTCATATAACCATCTCTATCGATAAGAACATATTTGCCAAAGGCTAAGCATATATAGAGAATGTTCTCTGGAAAATTTGAGCATCCTGGAATTTTGTTTTTCTCAAATAAAATGTTTAAAAAGTGCTTTGTTTGAGTATAAGGAATCGGAAAAGTTAATCATGATGAATTGAAAACTTGGTAAAAACTCTTGTATACGTAAATATCATAGCTTCTACGTTTCTGTTATTTGGATTTTTTTGTATATTTGATAGTGATTTCATTATCTAGAGAAGTTAATAATAGTAACTTTTAATAATAATAATAAAGATTCGGACAAATTAATATATTACTATGTTACGTGCCCAACATTTTGCAACATTAAGTCCATACTTGGTCAAATTTGGATCATTAGACTCAAACTTGGTTATATAATCATTTCCTGTTTCAATACCATGGACTTTGGCACTGAAATAATATTCTAGATCTTTTTCTATACATAAAGTTAAAGCCGGAGGAACTAATGTATCGTTCGGTTCAACTTCAACCTTTTGAATGGTATCGCTTAAATCTTTTATTTCATTAGGGATTTTCCTTGAAATATTTTTTTATTGACCTTTTTAAATATAAATTTTTTTAAACTTTGAAAGAAAAAAGAAAAAAAAAAGGAAAGCTCACGCGATACCAATTTATTATATACATTTCCATGAATAAACTCCAGAAGAAACAATTACACACAGTTGGTCTCATTATCAAATTTATTGATTATTGATTATGCTGAATTTGAGAGAAATAAATACCTGGTCAATTAAACCAAAAGGAGATTATCATTGAAATGTTGAAAGTTACATCTTTACATCTTTATTTTGCGTCTTTCTTACCATAAATGATCGGATTTTTGTATTTTCCATAGAATATATATAATAAACAAAAACAAATATTTTAATAAACGTATTTCTATCATTGCCTGAATTGTAGACATTATACTATTCGTGTTACCTCAAACAATCTTTATTTTGATTGACTTACAGTATATACATTGAGCAAATCTTAATAATTTGGTAAAGTTATGTTTATTGTTTGAATTAAGATTTGCTAACATTAATATACAAAATGTTACTTTGTAAAAAGATATACAGTGAACCCTCTATAAGTGCACCCCCCTCGGGAACATAGTGCTATTTCTTGTGAGCGTGCATTTATGGAGGGTGATTTTATAAGCTCTCTATAAGCTTGGGATGAGATGGACCGTGCATTTATGGAGGGTATACATATTGCGTGCATTTAGGGAGGGTGCATTTAGAGAGGGTGCACTTAGGGAGGTTCACTGTATTTGTACTTTTAAGTCATACAGTATAAAAAATTATTTGCTCTTCAATTATTTTACTAAAAATTTAATGATAATGAAAGTTTAAAAGAGTTTAGGATTTAAAATCAAATTGTTCATCCAATCAAATGATAAACACATCCTCGTTCTTTCCTCTTCTTGTTTTCTTTTTGACAATTTTTTATTCTAAAAGACATTTTTTATTATTTTTAAACTAGAGTGACGACTAGTTGCGATAACCACCACCACAATTCTTAAAACACTTGGTGATATTTTCTTGTTTTTTTTTCTGCTCTTCTTTTTTGTTGGTTCTAATTTCGTGTCTTTCGGCACTTTTATTATTTAGAAGAAAAGGATTGTTGTTTGATCGACGTGTACACATATCCTTATCCTATTGGTTTTTTTTTGTTAACGTGATTTGATTTTTTTCATCTGGAAATATTATTGGATAATATTAGTAATATGGTATTAATAAGGAAACCGCGTTTGTCATCTTGGGCTCTGCCAAAAAATAGGTCACGTCGACAAAAAAAAAATCTTTGTACAACACCAAGTGTCAATAATAATAGTATGTTGTAACATTTTTGTTTTACTTTATTTTTTTAAAAACAATAAAAAAATGTCTTTGAGAGTAAAAAATTTGTCAAAAAGAGACAAGAAGTGATGGGTAAGTGTTTATCATAAGAATGGTGGTGGTTGTTGCCACCTGTCATCACTCTAGTTATTTATAAATTTCATTTTTGTTTAATTAGGATAAATGCAAAATAAAATCATTACCACCTGAACTCTTGATAAAAATACACGAATAACATAAACCATTTAACAAACATTGAAAAGACAGGTGAAGACGGTTTGGCAACTATATTATATTAAAAATTTACAAGCCTTCCCCAACCTGTGGATTCCAATATAGTGAGTGACCATTTAATCATTGATTATTTTCATTTTTTTATTAAAATAACATTTATTAATATCCACTCTTATGATAAATATGTTTTAGATTGAATTAACTATACCAAATGAATTTCCCAATTAAGTTAATAAGAATATAAAAATCTTGCCGTTATTACATTAATGTATTGTCTGTTAAAGAAGATTAGACATTATATTTGTATTCTATTTATTTTATGAAGATTTATCATGTAATTATTATCCACAAAAAATATCCGCAATCGCCAAATCGACTTCTAAATAAAGAACAACACGCACCCAACCCACCAATAAATTGGATATTCTCATAATGCTGCGCAAAATTGCGTATAACTATATACTGTACATGGTTATTTTATGAAGATACAAATAAATTATTAATAGAATTTGTTAACTAAATATATTATTTCGTGTCTCCTTATATTAATATAAAATTGTGACCGGGAAAAAAAGTCCTTTTAGATAAATATATAAATTATAAAAAAAAAACCATAAATAAGTTTTTAAAGATGGAGAACACTTTAAATGAAAATAAACATCATGATGATACTTCTACTGACAAAAATGATGATGATGAATATTCATATATTAGAAATCAAAAATTTGGGGAATGTCCAACCTGCAATAGATACAATACCAATTGGGCATGGTGTCAATCATGTGATCTGGAGCCATTAACTGAAGGATGGACTAGTGGCAATGAAACATTAGATGAGTTGATTAAAAGCACACAACTTAAAAGAACTATGTATGATAATAGTAATTATCTTCAATGGATTTCTTATTATGATTTAACAAAGATTGAAAAGATAGGCGAAGGTGGTTCTGCAACTATATACAAAGCTGTTTGGTTAAATGGTGATAAATATGTATACTATGGAAAAAAAATTGTTTGGGATAGGTATGTGGTATTAAAAAAAATACATGATTCACAGAATATTCCTGACAAATTTCTTAATGAGGTAAATTAATATTAGTTTCAGATTTTTTTTTTTTAAGTATTATTGATTATTATTATTGTTGTAATTAAATATTTAGTTGTTATTTTAGTTCAAAAATTATGTGAGGCTTCAAAATAAAGCAAAAATAATTAAAGTTTATGGACTAACACAAGATCCAATCACAGAAGAATATGTATTTGTAATGGATTATAAAGATCGTGGAAGTCTTCAAAATTATTTAACTAAAAATTTTAAAACTTTAAAATGGATTAGTAAAATTTATAATCTTGTTGGTGTTATTGAAGGTTTAAAAGATATTCATAAAGAAGGAATTATTCATTGTGATCTTCATAGCGGTAATGTTCTTATGTCTTATCCTACTGCATGTATTATAGATTTAGGATTATCATGTTCAGCTAGTCAAACATCTGCATCAAACAAAAATGATATATTTGGAGTACTACCATATGTTGCACCAGAAATTTTTAGGGGGGAACCATATACAAAAGCATCAGATATATATAGTTTTGGAGTTTTGATGTCTGTAATATCAACTAGTCAACAACCTTTTAATAATTTGGCACATGATGTAGATCTTGCAATGAAAATATGTGAAGGTGTAAGACCAGGATTTTCAAACAACACACCAAAATCCTATATTGAATTAGCATCCAGATGCATGGATGCTAATCCACATAAACGTCCAACTACTGAAGAAATTTATAAGATTATTAAATTTTGGAATGATGCAACTATGGATCATATAAATTGGAGTGGATATTCAAATGAACAGCAGGATGAATTAAGATCAATTAGAAAAGTTTTTTGTGAAATGGATAAAATAGAGTTTGATCCTTCATCAATTACTGCAACAATTCATCCAAATGCTGTTTATACTAGCAGGTTATTAAAATTTACAAACCTTTCCCAACCTGCGAATTCCAATAAAGTGACAATTATTGGTAATAATAATGGTAATCATTAATGATTATTTACATTTTTTATTAATTTTAAAATCTATAATATTAATATTAATTACCCACCACTTATGTTAAATATTTTTTTAGTCTCTCAACAGATTGAATTAATAATGTCAGATGGATTACCTGAATAAGTTAAATCTTGTCATTTTATTATGTATTAAAATTATTTATTATTTTATTTTATTTATTGACTACAATAGTTGTAATATTAAATATTTTGAGAAATGAAATTATAGATAAATAATTTTTTATATTTAATAGTGTAAAGATAATGGCTTCTCACAATTGTCATATATTTGAGATTTTTTTTTGAAATTTTGATGTCAAATATACACATTTAATAATTTTGTTGTTGTATGATTTTTGGGCTATTGTATCTAAATTTCGGTTAAAATAATGATTTATTTATTTTTATGAGACAAAAATATTTATTTATATTTTGATCATGATGTGATTATGCCAAGAAGGGAAGAAAGAATTCAATATGGCATGTTGATGTTGAAAAAATCAATCTTTTTTATTAATCTTGATTTTTGGGAGATGTAAAAATTGACTTGCAGATCAATGAATGCAAAACTTTCCTACTTCCAGAAACACCTGATAGTCTTCCATATTCCTTAATCACCCATTGTGCATCTACCTGCACTACTAAAATAGGCTAACAAATGTCCAAAATAAAGTTGTGGATGGTGAATTGGGCAAGTGGGAGATTTCTTCGAACATGACAGACTTCAAAACTGCAAAACGATCCACATTCATAGGCTTTGCCTATATAACTTAATGTGATTTGTGCAGACATTTCTGGCCCAATAACAGAAAAACATTGTGTGATTTGGTCATGAAGTATCAGATACACACCACTGTAGCCATCAAATAGTGCTTGTCCAACCTGTTAAAATTCATCTATCGTTGCATAAAGCAAGAAGACAGGATGGTTGATCCATATCATTCCAAAATGCTGTTGATATGGAATGGCCACATAAAATTTCAATATGTGACAAAAATGATTGATGACAAAAGCGTCAAGTGATGTTTCTAACCCTAACAAGTATAAGCAAAAATAATTGTGTGAAAGAAAACTTACACCATTTGAAGTTGATGACAAAAAGTGCATTGAGGCGAAAATTTCCTCTCCAAGGTAATCAATCAATCCACTGTGACAAGGTTTACTATATGTGAATTTTAATTTCACATACAAAAAAATACCCTAGTTAAATATCTTTGAGAATATAATGTGTCTCGCAAACACAAATCTAAGAACAATAGACACAAAACCCAATTTAACTTACTACAAATCCTGCGCAATATTAATAATATCTGAATCTTGATGAAAACTATAAATAGTAACACACAAGAGACAAAGGCAGTATTTGATTATCAAGATGCGTGCGATTATCTAGAAGCAATTCAAATATTATTAGGCATGTAAACGAATCTCATTTGTGTTTTCATTGCAACGCAAATGATAAGTATGAGAATTTTTCCGTCACTGTTTTGATAACTTCAGAGCTCAGAAATATTAATGTCACGAACTTAAGGTCACGAGTGTTCTGTTTCTTGGTATTCAGAAGTCACATCGTGCAAAGATTTCTTTTCACAGGTAAAAAAAATCAAATTTGACGTTAAACATGCAGCAAAGATTTGTAAATACTTGATTTAGTTAAACGAACAGATTTATGTCACAAAAAAAAATGCTAAAAGAATATTTTTAGTTTTATAAAAAATTTAAAAAACAGAAAATTTTATTATATAAACATGAGAATTTCTTATCAATCAATTAATTCAATACGCCACTAAAAGCATTATAATGATAATAAAAAAAATGTTCATTAGTGCATAAGTAAATGCATTACATTTTGAGTCGAAAAATTAATGTACCTTATTATTTTCGTCATTTCCATTTCCATAACAAGAAACTTCTTGGGTTCCATCATCTAATAAAATGTCATGACTGTAAAGTGCTGGTCTATCAGTTGTGATATGGAAAAGACTGATGATGTCACCATGTCTCTAACTACCCGAGTCATCATAAAAAGCATTTGGACTATAACGTCGGATAAGCCAATCATCGTCACGATTTATATCTCTGCAGATGGTCACTAAATGGGGTCTGTACTAGGAAAATCGAGCTTCCAGCTATTTTTTTTTTTTTTTGTCTTTTTACTCAACAATAATCTCTAATAAAGGATTTACAGTTGGTGAAAAAATTGGACCCTGATTGCATAGTAGAAAAATGAGATACAAGGCTTGGAATATTTTCTTTATATATTAAAAACATATGTGTAACCAAATTTATAAGGGTTGTTACTAAAAATAGATTTATTGTCTGGAAGGTTGATTTTCCTAGTACAAACCCCAAATATAAAAATTTTTTAATTTTATGTTTGTACAAAAAATAGATATATTAACTCAAAGTACCTTGCTGATGGTTAGATTTTGGTGTTGTCCCACAATCCATACCATGAGAGTGTAAATTTCCTCCTGTCGCCCGATGTTTAAATCCAACAATGGTATTAAAGTACACAGGACTTCCTGCACTTTCGCTTGTACCACATGCTCCAATAACAGTCCAAACATCATTTTTCAAATCTATTTCCTGACCATTACCTATAACCTTTTTAAATTTTATAAATAAAGTTTATAATGTTAAATATTATAATATAAATAACAATCAAGAAAAAATAATAATGAACACCATATATTGTTCGAGAAACGCTATGACCCCTTTAGTAGATAAATATTTTCTGGTAGGCACATGAACAAGAGCAACTTTTGACCCTTTTACAATTGGCCTTTTCTGAAATTCATTATTTAGAAAAAATAAAATAGTTATAACGAGCAAATTGTAAAAGCTCACAATGTGAAATTCTAAAGTATCTCACGAAAAAATCTTCCTTCACTTCTTCAGCGGATAAGCGCCAGTTGAAATAACGAAAATTGCTATTTGATAAAATGGTCATTTAATATTTTTGTGATTTAGCTTAATTTCATTATTATAAATGCATACCTAATTTCTCCATTAATCGCACCCCAAGAGAAAGCACGTCCAACATACAGCGGTCCATCATTGAAGATAACCTTTTGCACTTTAACATCCTGGATGCTATAGTATCTGGTCCACTCACCGTCTATGTAGAAATCTAATTTTTTTTTCAGAATCAGAAAGTGTATAAGTTAGATGGTACCATTTGTTTAAAAAAAGTCCGGGAGTGAGCTCATCAATTCCTGCATTACAATCCCAGTTCCCTGTGAAGCGAGCATGCAATTTATCTCCTCCTAGCCAAAGTCCAGGCGTGCGGATTAAATCTTCAGTACCTAAATGTATTTATATTTCATTTGAGCCAAAAAAGTGCTAGTTAGACAAAAATAAATTTTAATTTTGCTGTCCAAAGCCTTTCTTACAAAAAGCATACCTTTGTGAAAAATAGTATCATAGGAAAGGGAATGCTCCATAAGTCTCAATCGTAATGTCATTGACAGCTGATCTTTCACCACGGGCAAGTCAGCATGGTTAAAGATACGTTGATCTTGCCCTCTCAACATAATAGGATCTGAAATAAGTTCAGCCCACTCTTTGACGGCGAATTTCTTCATTTTTTATGAAATAATAATAGATTAATAAATTTAGTATGCAAGATTTTATATCTTCCAATACAAGTATTTATATATGAGTATCATTGATTATGGGAAGCTTCTGTTTCACGAATCCAGCCCTTTTATATATAATCCCAAATCTATTTTAAGATTTCTTTGGCAATCGTATATATATGTAGTTTACATCGCATGTAAAATTTATTGAATGTATAATTCGGGAACATAAAAATTGATCAATGAATTTTTTTATAGGCATTATACCTTATAAATTTGGACCTTAAGTTTCACGAAATAACTTTTTGAAAATGCTATTTAAGATTGATTGTTTCTAAATTTGTACAGAAAGTCAAATCAAGTTATTGGACATGTAATTCTGACTTGTTTTTCACTAACAGGACAGTGCGTAGTTTGCATAATGGTTCCCCAAATCTATAATAAGTATAATCACCACATAATTAATATAACATTGAATATATATTAAAATAATACATTCATTTTATTTTTGGGCGAAAAGACAAAAAATTCAGGATTATAGTGTGTTTAGAGTTGATAGTGGAATACCTTTTTTGTTGTTAATTTCATCACACCTGGCGAAATTGACGAAGTGGTGAATGTGACAAAAGGACGAAAAATATGACAAAAAGTAGAAAATATAATTAATTAAAAATAATCAACAAATTTATATGTGCTCTTAAAGTAAGTTCATATCCACTTGTTCATTTAAGATTTTTCATTGAAATCTCATAATCAGCTTCAATTTGTAAATGATAATTCAAGTGTTGAAGATAATCCTAACTATATAGCCTATTAGAAATTCTAAAGGTCATTTTCTGCTAAATGTTTGCACTATCCCAAAAAGTTTCAAAGTGGAGACTTGCAGCTCATTTAGCAAATCACTGTATTAGATGTGGCCTGCATTCCATTCTTCAGAACAGAAGTGATTATTTTTATGATTGTGAAGTTAATGAAACTGGCAGTTGTTTATTATCTGAAATAGAGATGATTGTTTGGAACGATTAGGTAAAATTTTTTTTGAATTTGTTAAATTTTTTTTCTAGTAATTAAATTTATTATTATTTGCGTCCTGAGGCAACTTTCACTATAGTATGAAATCAAATTCTAATGACTTCAACAGCTGTATTTTTATTTATTTATTGGTTTAATTATTTCTTATTTTCATTGCCATAATAAACTGTCAACAAGAACATCACGATCATCATAACAATAATAATGAAATATTTAACATTGCCATGTGATGAAATTATTAAGCCATTAATGTGGTGGTAAGCTCATGGTTGGGATTAATAGTTGTTTTGACTTCACCAGGCTCCAAGAAAGCCCATGATTTTATTTCTATATCATACCATTGACTATTCATCATCATCAATTCTTTATTATGATAGTGTGCACCATTATCAAATAATGCTTCAATCCACAAAAGGGGTTTTTCTATTGTAAAAAATAAGGCATCGAACGAGGAAGCTGTAAACCATGTTTTTTGTATTGGAACAACGGACCAATGACCCAAAGCCTCTATAGTCAGCTATTATGACAGTTTCATCCTTATCTAGATGAAGTAAATATGCATTTAGACCAGTATTTCTGGCTATAATGCTGTAATTTCAATTATTATTTTTTTTAGCAGAACCTGTTGGAACTTGGCTACATTTTTTACAACTAATTGGATGTTGTTTTTTGTAACCTCCAAATACAATTTTAAAACAATGCTCAATGCAACTGTCATGTCGAACATGCCAGATGACATCAATAATTAATTCCTTGTCATAATCTTGTTTCAAATGACATTCAATAAATATACTGTCATTCGCTTTTGACTGTCTAAAGGTGGACGAAAGCGTCCTTGCTGAATACAGGAGAATTAACCACCTGAATCAAATGAGTTTAAAGGGAATCAGTCAAGCGTTGGTTAGCATTGGTGCATGCCTCATTGTATAATCAAACATAGCAAGATGTCAATTGATTTATTACATAAGCATACTGAATTGAAGAACTTGTTCTTATACGAATTAAAATTATTTTGAAAAATGACCAAGTTATCAAGTACTTCATAACTTTATTAGTGACTTACAAGTGATTATTAACTGTTATTAAATATAGGGTTAAAAATTTTGACATCTAATGCTGAAATTGCAAAAGATCGTCTTCTCAATTACATTCAAAAACTCAATGACTTTGAGAAAATATATGACATATAATCTATTAACAAATTGTGAAATGGTTATAAAAAGAATTTTTTGCTTTACGTTTACAATTCATGCCTTCACGTTTCACCGCTTTCATACCTTCGCATTTTCACGCTACTCTTTATTATTCCAGATAAATAACATTTCTGTCCTCCGACTCCTCCAAATCAACATCCTATTAGTAGTCCAATTATGACTTGCAAACGTGGTAATTTGCAGCAATCAGGTTATCACCAACAATCTCGTGACTATTCTTTTCGATTTTTGATCGTTATAATTCTGATGAAATTGTTTATGATCTTTATAAAACTATGTATTAGAATAAGTTGTGTTACACAGTGAGTCTCGGTATAACGGATATGTTTGTTCCATACTATACCGAGTCATCCGATATCCATAAAAAATCGAATTTTTGATTAAATCATGTGATACACGTTACGTTAAAAAATTATTTTTTATTTTTGAATAATATGACATTGTTAATATTTAATAATTACTTATTAGCTCAAAAGAGTGAATATCATTATCCGTAATATCGAGAAAATTTTTAAAAAATATCCAATAAACCGAATTTATTATTATTATTATATGAAAAATCCGTTAAATCTGTTAAATCCGTTAAACCGAGATAAAATAATTGTAGAAAAATTTGGGTTTGAAAATTTATCCGCTAAAACCCCAAATCCGCTATACCGAGACTCACTGTGTATCTGGATCGGTACTTATTAATTTTGTCTGACATTTTTTTTATTTTGCAAAGTGAAGAATTTATCATAATAATTTATATTGAATTTAATTTCGACTATGAAGATAAGGAAGGTATTTATGTAGGCGAAAATTATAAAGAAAAATTTGCTGAAGGAGAAATTGTTATGGAAAAATTTCCATATGGTAATTTTGTAGTTGTAATAAATCTACCAGCAGAGTAAACAGAAATGAAGGCAAGCATTGGAGATGAAATCCAAGATGGATTTAGTGAGATAATTTTAAGTCAGAAAATAAATCAAAACAAAAACAACAAGATTTAACAACGAACCAATCAGTTGATAAGTTTATATGCTAAGATTATTTTATTTTATTTTTTCTATTTTCTAGGTTTATTTATTACAAAAAATGAGATATACTGAAAATAAAAAAAAGTTTTGTTAATTAAATACATTGAAATGAATGAATAAGTGAAATTATATGTATAATTACATTTGAATACAAATGAATGAATATAAATGAGTGTATGAGTGAATGAGTGAATGAGTGAATGAGTGAATGAATTGATTAATGAATGATGTTGAATATAAATGAATGAATGAATTTATAATCTATAATCAATAAATTGAATTAATCTAATGATGTAATGATGCAAAGATGCAAATGTAATGATGCAAAGATGCAAATATAATGATGCAAATATGCAAATATAATGATGCAAATATGCAAATATAATGATGCAGAGATGCAAAGATGGTAATGTTTTTGTTGTATACATTGAAAAAGTATGACACCGCTCAGCGGACTTTAAAAAATTATATAAACAAAATCAATGATACATTTTTTTAAAATCCCAAAGTAGGGCTTGGTAATGAAATATTGAATTCAATACCGTGAAATTTACTTTGAAGTGGACTTGAAGGAGCTGAACGAATTTCTGGATTATCATCATCGTTATCACTTGATCTATTTATAAACCAACTGTATTCATGATTATGATTTGATGATGATGAATTTAAATTTTCAGTCGAACGAAAACGACGATCCGCTAATGATAAATTATTAGACTGATCGGTTGTTGCTAATGATGCTAATGATGATGTTGAGTCTGAGGAAGAGGAAGAGGTGAGTGAATATGTTTTTGGAGATGTTGAAGCTGATATACTTGGTGTTGATGATTTAGATTTGGATTTAGATTTACTATCAGACCTTAACAATAACTTGCCTAAAGATTGTGCCAACGAATTTTGGCTTTTCTTTTGTCGAAGTTTATGATATCTCTCATCATTTGGAATTAATTGTGATGATGATGAGGAAGGAGATGGTGGTGATGATGATGGCGATGATGATGTTGTTGATGATGGTGGTGACAATGCTGGTGGATATGGAGAAGAATTGAAATCATCATTTGTTGGTGTTACAGGTCTTGTATTATTATTGGAAGAAAGTTCATCGTCATTATCATCAGTTAATATTTGATTATTATTATTGTTATTAACGATTCCAATAACATCATCGTATGAAGGTAAACCACCATCGAAATCATTTTTTTCAGGTACAGTGGTAATAGTAATAGGAAAAGTCAATTCTAATCTTTTTTCATTTTGATCTTGGAATTTCAATGTGATTTTTAATTTATGCCTAACACGTATCAATGGACTTTTTATTGAAGCCTTTAATTTTGTTTTTTTGCTTGAGTCAGAATCAGAAATAGCATGACTAGTGAATGGCAAGTTGCAAGTTAAAGGAGAATTCCAACAATCATCATCGTGGTGGATATTCAATGTGGTTGGTTTTATCGGATGAGATCTCACACGCTTTAAAGATGATGAGCCGCTTAATTGAACATTACCAACAAGTTGAGCGCCATCAATAGCAAAATCTCGAAGATCTTGGTTAGTTGGATGAATTCTATAATATAAATGATTATGTTTTATGATTAATTTATCATTATTATGATTATAATAATGATGATGATAATGATGATAAAACATACCTATATTTTTCAGATTGTATCATATCAAAAGAAACTTTTTCAATCTTTCCTTGATCTGTTAAAGGCAATAATCTGAGTCTAACCAGTATTGATTT